CCGACCCCTGAGGGACTCCACTAGACACAGAAGCTGAAGGCCCATCTCTGATGACCTCAGCAGTTGAATACAACCCCAGATCTTCATCAACCATTTGGAGCACTTGATTGGGCTGCTCCTACACAGGCAACATGCATCATGGGAGGTGCCTTCAGGTGTGTGACATCTACAGAGGGAAAAATGTGACATAAGAGACCTGGGGTGACGTAAATGACACTATGTAGGCAACCACCTCCTGCCATCAGCGTCATCAGGTGCTCTCCAAATCTCACGTCCCCAGGTTTTTCCTCTTTTATGAGAATCCTCTGCTCTGCTCAGGACCATGAGTTAAAGGAGAAGGGTGAGTTTGGGTGGGATGTGACCTAAGGGGAGCTGCCTCTCCTCTGGGGTTGGGGTGAAGGGGCCTCCACCACTACAACATGCATCATTTAGGTGCTTCATGGTCAATACAATACCTCCAGTGTCTCACCAAGCCTTAAAGGGTGAAGGACCATCACCACAGGCAGACCATTCTCAGGGCTGCAGGTGCAACCCCTCCCAGAGACACACAGACACAGCAGAACCCAGGATGGGAACCTGTTGAGATGTGTCCACCACCAGCTGGGCTACAGAGGATGATCAGGGATAGGCTCCAGTTCAAAGTCAAATCACAACCCCATGACCCACAGCCAGGAACAGCATTTGGAAGAGGCCTGAGCTGCCCCAGTGCTGTCTCAAGGGCTGAAATGGGAGGAAGCTGGGAAGATGTGGGGCAGGGGAGGAGACCAGCATGACCAGGAGGCCCACAACCCTCCTCACAGGGGAATCCACCAGCTCAAATCCCAAATACAGCTTTGCTGGCCCATCTTGTGCCCATATGGAGGACACAGGCTTGGCTGTGCTGAGCGAGATCCACTCTGCACGTGGGATTTGGCCAGTCTCTCCTTACTGGGTGTGCTGGCAACACATGCCAGGTGACCTCCCACCCACAGCTTAAGGATGCTAGGAGAAGGTACAAGGGTGGGAAGAAAGGAAGACCACCAAGTCCATGTCAAGACCCAATTGGACACAGATGGAAGCTGGAGGAGGCGATGAGGCAGAGCCATCGTTAAATAACCATCCTGTAATTAGTGTGTGGTCTCTCCTTACTGGGTGTGCTGGCAACACATGCCAGGTGACCTCCCACCCACAGCTTAAGGATGCTAGGAGAAGGTACAAGGGTGGGAAGAAAGGAAGACCACCAAGTCCATGTCAAGACCCAATTGGACACAGATGGAAGCTGGAGGAGGCGATGAGGCAGAGCCATCGTTAAATAACCATCCTGTAATTAGTGTGTGGAGTGCCCACATCCCACCCACCCCCCCATTCCAAGCACTACAGGGACCATACGAAAAGATGGGACGGAGTGAGACCAAGGATCTCCAGGAGTCTGAGGGACAGCACAAGGGCACCAACGTGGGTGAGGACAGGGCTCCTGTCTCATCCTGGTGAGCAAAGGTTCAACCATCAGACAAGGTGGGACAAA